CAACTTCTACTGCAGAGTTCCTTAGTTCAATTATGGCTCAGCAGAGCTTGACAGCTCTTCAGTGGTGTAACTTCAAATATTCCCAATTTCATCATGATCATGGGACACAAGTTTTGACAGCAACGAGCTGCTCATAGTCTGCTTGATTCCACACAAGCACTCATGCTTGATGACAGTGCGAGACTCGAACTTGTGCTTTCAGGCAACGATTCATATGTGCATTCTAAACAGTTAGTCGGCTGTAGCATCTTTTAACGTCATTTAGGTTTATGCTATTTTGCTCTTGCAGGTAAAGTTTCCATGGTGACTGCCCCGTCAATCTAACTTTCATTCCTCAGCTTCAAGATGATTATGAATCACCCTTAGGTAACACAGTAAATCATGGCTCATACCAGCTTTCCATGAGCAGTGCTCAGTGGATAAAATACGTCAATTTAGGGCCAAGTATTGCACACACTTCCGCCTCCATCACCTTCAGTTCATGTCCCATCACCATAATATCGGCTGCTATACCTAAATCTGAGCCGAGACCCCATTTGATGAACTGGCTCATAGCGACATGGTGCAGTTATCTCAAAGAGTTGCGCATATTTACTTAAAGTTCAAACTGTGAGCATTGTTCACATGCGGAGCTTTATGGCAACTAAAACTGGTGTCTACACCCGTCTAAACGTTAATTTGTGCCTTTTACATCAACACTAAAAGGAGTGGTGACAGAAAAATTTATGAACCTGTTTTTTTCTCTTAATCAGTCACAACTGACTCGTTAACAGTGGCGACAAAACTGATTTGCCCTAGTGCAAGATGAATGTTTACAATATGCCTGTACGTTATGACCAAAGGCAGCTTCCATTTCAAAAACCACTCGAGTGTCTTGCAACAAAGTCGGCCTACTCAGTACCAAATACTAAGGTCCTTTAGCAACTGACAGAAATACGGTACGCAAATATGGTAAGGCAGTACGGTAGTACTCCTCCTTTCCCACTTCTTGTGCTTTTGCCACTCCGCGTTCCAGTGACAGTCCGTTCCCCTAACTAAAGGTGTCTAGTTAACAAAGCATAGACTGACAGCCAACAATGAGGCTTGACAGCCCCGCAGACATTTTTGAAAAAGCTTTCGTTGTGCTGCAGCACCTTCACCGGCAAAAGGTCGACGACCGGAAAAGGCGGAGCACTATGTTAATACCGTACCACACTTCCCTAATAGGAAAATACGGTGCACGAGTACATTTAGGTGGTATGGTAGCATTCGTCCTTCCCCATTCATTGTGCTTCTGCCACTCCTTGTTTTAGCGACTAGGGTGCCTCGATGCAGGTGCATAGCCAGAAATTCTTTCAGAGAAGGGGGCACCTACTTCATTTCGGGGAGGGCGTCCCTCGAAATGGTCCTTTTTCGCCCTCTGTGCCATGGTGAAAACAATTTGGGGGGGGGGGGGGGGGGCACAAGCCTGGTGTGCCTAAGCCCCTGCTTCGATGTGAGCGGAGGTGCCATACCGAGGCGCAGTGCATCCCCCAGACAACAAGCGTCTCATTGACAATGTGTAGGCTGACAAGCAGACATGAGCGGTGACAACCCAAGAGTAATTTTTGAAAAAGCTTTCGCGGTGTACGGGTGCCTTCACTGACCAAAGGTTGTCAACCGGGAAAGGAGGAGCACTTTGGTAATACTGTACCGTATATGCGTACCGTATCTCCCTAACTTGCTAAAAGACGCTACAATCAGGTGACCGAAAAAGGCCAGTGCCATCACTGGCCAGTTTCTGCCACATCGGCGCTGCTGTTTCCCCTGCTGTGTTGAGTGCTGTGAGAGCTTGCTTCCTCATCTTCAAACAATGTTGCTCATCTAGTGTGGTGATTGATGAAGAGCTGGGAAGCGTGTAAGAATCAGTTCGAAAAACTCGATTCACAACACGAACCTCCTCGATAGATGAAATTTTTGTTCTTTTCGTCATTGTCCAACTGATGTGACGATTCCTGTCGGGCTTGGAGCAGCTACAGCTTAGGCACGCTGAAATATTTTTGCTCTCTTCATTTTGCCGGTTGAGAAGCAACAAAAGAAGCAGTGAAATACTATTGGTGTTCTACAACAGTGTACATGTGTAACATGTAACTAGCACGATTTACTGAGTGATGTTTAGGTCAAGCAATGCTGTGTTAGAAAGGCATACCAATCTCTATCGTGCACGTTGGAGAACCGCAGTAGCCATCTGTCCACTACACAGTATGATGCAGTACAGAGCTTTAGTTTGTCTATAGATTCTTAACGCTTGCGTACACCCAGTTACCATAGCCAATTATGGCTGCAACAACAGCAGTAGTATCAATATTTTGTAGTGACATTTTGTAGTGACATTTTGTAGTGACATTTTGTAGTGAAATTTTGTAGTGAAATTCTTAGCGACATTTTGTAGCGACATTTTGTGGCATCATTTTGTGGCCTTTTGTCAAACTGCAATATAATTTCTATTTCTATTTGCTCAGACGCGTTGCTGTCGTGGTATAAAAGTGTCAGTTTCGCCAGTACGGCGAAGCAATGAATACGATAGCAAAAATTAGAATATCGCACTAAGATCGACAAGCAGCTCAATACCTTCTGCACGTTACAGCAGCACAGAGAAGGTGCTCGAGAAGAACGCATAGGTATACACAGGACAAGTGTTGACTAACAAATGTCATAGTTGTAACGTGTTAATATTCGAGGGACGCGCCGAAAATGTTCTCAATGCAGAAGCCAACGCTGTTTGATCTTTCTTTTTCTTTCAAACTGTGGCATGTGCAAAGACCCCTCTGCACCTTCCTTCATGCGGTGGCGTCTTAGTCTTAGTGTTCTCTGCCTTTTTATCTTTGTTTATATGCCTTTTTACATATATAGATACAGATACATATACGGGACATGACAGCGATGGCAAAATTCAACCGCGAGTGCCAACATAATTGCTATTGCAATAAAAAGACAATAAGAATACAGTGTGTTGATAATTATCTCACTGCCAATGCTTCACAGAGAGTCAGCAAGAGGGTTTCACTGCAATGTTATATTTGTAGGTCTCTGGATAGGCTGTACATCATCAAATGCTGCTATCAGCATTGTCAACATTGAGCACCTTTTCAGCAACCAGGCTAGAACTCATAACAAATGGTGTGAACAAAAAGTTTCCACTTGATGATCTCCTAGCTTTTTTTGCTTCCATTTCCAATTTGGCCCTTTCAGAAACTTCAAAATACGATTAAAATACTTTCTAGGCTGTCTCTGAGGCTCGTGTTCTAGAGATGGAGCCTTTAGGTTCTCACCAATGCGATGTAACAGTGATATTGCGTTCAAATTTTGGTGTCACTGCTCCTTCAACGCGATCCCAATAATTGCCGCAGATGGCCTTGAAAGCGCAAACCAGCGTGCTATGCGTGTGTAATTGGAGGCATACAAGTGCAAAGTGCGTCAGACCGACCCTGAACCTATGATACAAATGTCTTACCGGCTTACCTTCCTAATTTTAGGCTTAAGCCGTTTCCATACGAGCCGGTAAACGCGTCGATACCACCACTTTGACTTGTAGAAAAGCGAACTCCGGCGGTAACAGTTGCGATGAGTTATCCTGCTGGCGACATCGATAATCTGTCACCGCAAAATGGAATCGCGCAGACAACGGGAAAAATTTGAGCAACATTTCTGAATGGTGCCGTACTACTTGAATCCAGTTATAGTATTTGAAATCCATTAGCTTGATATTTTGGGCACAGACAAAATCGATTAAATTATTTGGCAAGTTTAGTAAAAAAAGGGCATAAAACAGTTTTTAAAACATCACATAAGTTTTTGTCACGTAGTAAAATGTGCATACAATATTAAATATGTTCCGATTTTACATAAAGATAATTTTCCCACTATGAAAGTTGATTTACATTTACTGTGACTGTCATCAACGTGCAAAGCTTTTTGTTCCTTCAGATCAACGGAGATGAACAAGGCTCCCGCACTGCAGCTTTGCACACCACAAATGATCATGAATAATGTGTTTGAAACAAAATACTTTTTATGAATATATTTTATGAATATGTTTTCTTTCATCCATGTCACTTCATGACTAGATGGCATTTCATCCAACTCCCGACTTCATGCATGAACTATGTTTTTGAAAAAGGCTCAACAGGTGAGCACTCAACAGCAGCAACAGTTGCCATGGCAACAGCCAATAGGATGACTTGTGCCAGGATCTCTTGTTATGCTTGCCCATTTCCTACTTAGACATAGTGGGTGACACAAACGGAAATAGAAAGGCAAGCTTTCAGTTTCAGTATGGTACGTTAATGGCTGCGCTTGGCGATTGAAAAAATTACAGATGTCTCCAAAAACAGTACAGTTCGGAGGCATTTTTCCAACTGCTGCATTATGAAATGATTTTCTCCAGGTCAGTAAAGTGCATTTTGAATGCGGTCATTTTGACATGAAATGTGCTAAGCATTCCAGGTGCAGAAATGAATGCTTTCCAAACCTTTTTCTTTTGTGCGCATTTTTGCGATCTAATACCTGCATTTATGCTGCACTCACATGACACCGTATGCCACCGAAGCGCGAATACACGCTAGACATTTTTTTTCTGAAAAAACTTAAGGCCAACCTAATTGTCTTCATTCTTACAAGCACGTTAGTTTGTCCTAAATCAAAAAAATTTGAAATTATGCAAACATTTTGCAAGCTTCTGAGGAATCTTTATCAGCAAGATTGTGGTTCAAGGTTTTCTTCGAGCACTGCTGACCTGATTTAGGCTACAAAACAAGCAATGAGGAACCACAAAATGGTGTTTGTAGTTCACATTCTGCTTACCCAGTATGCTATTTCGTGTTTTCCAATTTGTTGACAATTAAAGATCGTGTGAAATGCCGAGAGTGCCCTCCACCTTAAAACTTTCACATATAGACAATAAATTTTACTACACGCACCAAGCGATCTCAGAACGAGTATACAAATGGAAACAAGTTTCTTGTGTTTTTTTTCCTACGTACCTGTAGGAAGAAGAACGGGTGTTTTGGAATGCCGTACTGGAAGGGCCACACGTTGTCGAGGTACCACAAGAGGAGCGCATAGATCAGTATCGACGTGAGCATAATGAGTACAATTTGGCCAAGTGTCACGTTGTCCGCAGGCACGGCCTCCATTCCCAGGTTGCTCCACTTTGCCCCAATCCCTGATATTGAGGCCGGCAGAGATGAAGAAAAAGTATAAGACTGTGAAAAGATTATCCCCTTCAGGCGCGAGCGAGTTATGATGCTTACTGGAGTACTAGTTTTGATGCACTGTCTAGTTGTGTTGCACTGTATATGAAGGCTTCAAATTCACACACCAGAAAAATAAGGCACTCGATACACTCAAACGTCATTTTACCAAAGTCACACCTGCCACAACAAACTTCATTATATCTGAAAATTTGTTACAGTAAAAGCTCGTTAATTTGACACCCATTAATTCGGAAATTCGGATAATTCGGACGGCTCTATTGGTCCCGGCCAAAGTGCATGTTAATCTATGGGACCAAACCTTCGTTATTTCGTCGGAATTCGGCTCCGCACCGCTTAATTCGGACAAATGCTGACGGCTGCTGCTACACAAAAGTGTGATAAAGCAGCGCTGGCACCACTGGAGTGAAACCGAAACCTGAGTGGCATCGCCATCATCATCAACTAGTGGGGGCGATCGCAGCAACACCGAACGTCGGCGTCTTCTTTCTTCTCCACTCAGCGCCTCTGACGCCATTTTCACTTGTGTTGTCGTGTCGGAACCATCTCTTCTTGCGGAGTTCTCTTTTTCTTCCATTGTGACCGTATTTGCATGCCACCACCATTGTGCGCTACAGTGATGGCAACGCCGAAAAAGCGGCAGAGTCCACCGACCGAGTCCACCGACCGAGTCCATTGACGATGATTGCTCGACTTTCGATGCTGTCCTTTCCACAGATGTGACCTTTCAGGACTACATCGCGATTGATCATGGTGTCGCCACGAGTGGTCTCCTGACCGATCAAGAGATTATTATTGATGTCACGGGCGCCCATGAAGACCACGATTCCGACGAAGAATCATGCGAGGAGATACAGCCGCGACCTCATCGCACCTCACGGGAAGTCTCGGAGGCGCTGTTAATATTAGAGGACGCTTGCCTGAACACTCCCGACAGCTTGTGTGCTGTTGGCCATTTGGAACAGTTAAGAAAAATTGTAATGTCAGCAGGAATCTGCGCGAAAACGCAGACGACAATTACAAAATACTTCAACAAATAAAGGTATGCTTCTGCAGCTTGTTTTTAAATGTTGTTTTCCCTGTTCATTCGTTAATTCGGCATTCGGTTAATTCAGACAGTTTTTCCGGTCCCGTGAGATTCAAATTAACGAGCTTTTACTGTATAAACATACATTCGTATCATTGTACCTAAGATGAACCTACTCTTCATTTACTTCGTAACATCAAATAATTCGTTGTATCTGGGTTGGTTATATTGAGGTCTGAGTGTACCACATTCTAAGAAGGCAACTGACGACTGAAAATAGCGCTAAAAAACGAGGACACAAGAAGAGGACACACAGCACAGGCGCTAACTTCCAACATAATGTTTATTACCACCGCACGCTCGCCTATATCACAAAAAAATATCACATGACATGAAAGATGCGCACAAAAAATTTAATTTCTTAGAAAATACAATTCTTTATCACTAAGCGTAAGAGAGGGAGTGCTGACGCACTTAGACCCCAGTGAAGCGATAGCCTCAGCCTCAATAATCTCTCTAGTAAGCTTATCGAACATTCTCTTGATAACTGTGCATGCATTGAATATCGGCGCGCAGCCGCAGGATTTACAATGTATGGCCAACCAACTCCCCTGGCCGTTTTTCACATTATTACAATGTTCTCTTAATCGATCATTAAGGCAACGGCCCGTCTGTCCAATGTACTCTTTACCACAAGAAAGCGGGATGCGATAAACAACGCATATGATGCATATGCGTTGTTTCATATGCGTTGAGGCTGTAGCTGATGACCCAGCCCACGGTAGAGAAGATGACACCAACCACAGCTGCAGAAGTTAGCGCCTGTGCTGTGTGTCCTCTTCTTGTGTCCTTGTTTTTTAGCGCTATTTTCAGTCGTCACAATGCACCAACAAGCCCAAATTTTGACAGTGTTGAACTAAGAAGGCAAATGAAGCAATGCATTTTTTTGTGTGAGGTTCTGTAATTAATAGTAATTAGCATGTAATTAAGATTTCATTATTCTTAAAACCAGTCATGTTGCATTTTGACACTCAAAATGGTGTAAATGCCTCATGAGAGTCATTTTTACAGCATTTCCACAAGAAGGTGCTTCAGTACCGGGGAGCTCTCAAAACTGACCTTGGCCTTCGAGAAAAGAGATGAGGCGAAACGCCCAATAGAGGCCACTGTTCGGCAGCAGAGATGTGGACAGTTTTGCGCTACGGCTGATGCTCATGTAGCGATCCGAGCCGAGCGGATCCAAGATGGACGTGGGCAGGCTGTAGCTGATGACCCAGCCCACGGTAGAGAAGATGACACCAACCACAGCTGCAGAAAACAAACAGGAGCATCTTTTATTTAACACATCTAGCCTACATGTTTCGTGAGTCTAAATGTTCACTGTATGTCTGTATGACGCGAGTCTAAATGTGCATGACCTTGTCACACGACATCATCGGACAAAACTTGACATGTTTAGCAATGTGTTGCCGATGGCATCGCATGACAGCCATGCATAATCAATGATAGGTTCATTCTGCACATAACGCAACACCATATAAGCTGCAGAAAGCAACAGGTTGTAGGGGGTGTTCAGCACTGCATTAACCGAAGACGGAGTAATTTAGTCAGTGTCTCATGAGGGCATAATCAATGATAGGTTCATTCTGCACATAACGCAACACCATATAAGCTGCAGAAAGCAACAGGTTGTAGGGGGTGTTCAGCACTGCATTAACCGAAGACGGAGTAATTTAGTCAGTGTCTCATGAGGGCATATGCTTCTGCCTGTGCTCTCCTTAGCATTGCCCAAAGATACTGAGCTCGTATTCTGATTTCTGCACTTAGCTTTCTACAACTGAACAGGCTCAACTGAACAAAAGCCTAACACCATCGAGTTTCAGTTCAGTGCGCCATCAACCAATGCCCACTTTCCACGTCTGCCTGAGATGTTCGATGAAAGGAGAAATAGTCTCACCGCTGTTGAAGATGACCGTAAAAATGAGGAGGAACAGGATGGCCGATGTCGCGTAAATGAGACAGATGAAGAGGAGGAGGCTGAAGTCGCTGTACAGGAGAACCGCCGCCAGCGGCGCAACGGGAATTTTGAAGAGGATCAGGCTTATCGTTAGTGTGACAGCCAGCACCATCCAGCCGCTGGCAAAAGTGCCGATCCAGTAGACCCAGTCGGTGAGGCCCATCATGCGCATCAGCTCCTGCAAACCGAACACAGGAGAGCAAGAGGTTATCAGTTTTGAGTGGGATGCAGATTTAAATAAAAAACACATGTCCTGCTTGCATAGGTGTCTGCGTAGTTTAAAATCCTGTGCTTGATGCAACTCTACTAGCATGAAACCCGACAAGTGCTTGGCATGGGTGATTCGCTTAGCTTGGCAAACGCATCCTTGCCGAGGTGGTGGCACCTCTTCTCGTACGGAACAGATATCAGCCAAACCTTTCAGGAGCACTTTTCGCTGTGTTGGAAAAATTATCACAATTACTATTTTATCGTACGTTTCGCATCTCAAAACCACAATATGATTGTGAGGATGCCCTGGTGGAGGGCTCTGTAAATTTCAGCTGTCTGGTGCTCTTTGATGTGCACAGACATCGTACAGTACACACGGGCCTCTACCATATTGTTTCTATTGAAATGGGACTCCCCCAGCGGGGATAGAAGCCGCAACTTTCGGTCAGCAGCTGAACACCACAGCTATTGTTCCAACAAGGCCAACTAAATTACTACGATTCTCGGTTATTTTTGTTGTTTATGTTACTTTGGACTTTTTATTTTATTTAACACTGACTTGAGCATTGCTAGCTTTGTTATACGCCTGTATTGCTCACCACATGACCATGCGACGGAGACACTAGGTGACAGTGCTCCGCACTTAAAATTGTATAAAAGAAAAATATGCAGATACAGTTCGTTGTATTATGCCTTGTTGCATTATTATTGCATGCGTTTGCAGGCTAATTAAAGTTACATTGTTGTCTTGTTGCTTATGTCACTGAAGTTAATCGTGCTACACTTGCAGAATGACATATTTTACTATTCAGCCCAAGGATCATGTCTAAGTGTGCTGATAATGTTCTTTTTGTAGTCATGATGCTTCACCGGAGCCGAGATTGTAGAAAAATCAGGGCCTCAGTAAGGCGCATGCAAACGGGTTCACTCCCAACCTTGTTGGTTTTCTACAAGAAAACTAAAAGAAGTGTGAATAAACAAACAAAAAATGAAGAAATTACAAAATTTCAGATGCCTGATAATGCCTGATAAATTTCAGATGCCTGATATCAGATGCCTGACAAAACGCGAAAAGTGACAGTTTGCGGCAGCAGTGTCAACGTGAACAGTACAAAAAGTCGATCTGAGTGAATCCGAGTCCGAGCGAGTCCGAAGCACAAGATATACTTTTTGAGTTGGAGTAAGTTCCACTTTTTTTTTTTGCCGTCCTATAATTACACTGTTACAACTTTCTCTCGGTAAGCAAGGATCCTGTTATTTCTATCTAACCTTATTGGTTAGGAGTTCATTATTATTTGTATTCTCATATTTTCTATAGTATAATATACAGAAGTACCTCATTTGTTCTTACTCTAGTAATCATGTTACCTCTGCAATTATTCTTATGCAAACTTCTAATGTGCTCCTGAAGTCACGTGTAGGCATCATTCCATTTCATGCTGTATGATATGTGTTCAATATGTGAGATCATTTATTATCGCGATGTCCTACTCACCCAACGCTTCTTGCCCCACTCACCCAAGGCCTGTAAGAATTTTTCAATAATAAATAAATAATACAAATTTTCCCACCGTGCTCCAGTTTCATTATTTCTCAACTATAGGAACTGAAAATTTCATTGAGGGCAAGACCAGATACAACGCAGTCTTTTTCGACTCTCATTAACCCTCCGAGAAAACTACATGTATACGCATACCATTTACTGTGCAGTCCCCCAAGATTGAAATAACAGTTCCCAGGTGAAAATTTGTAACTGTGAATACAGCTGGTTTCAACTGGCATCAACAGTTGACATCAACCGGGACCAGTTGACAATCAACTGGTCCTGGTTGATTCCAGTGCAACTAGTTCCAGTTAGCAGCTAGTACCAGTTGCAACTAAACTGATAACGCTGTTGCCAGAAAATATTTCAGACAAAATTGGCTGCGAGTGTGCCTCCCGAAGGAGGTGCGCCGCTGAAGAAAGAGCGATGAGGGCATTACAAGGGAGGCATAGAAAAAAAGAGGGACGAGAGGAGGAAAAAGAAAAAAGATTACGGCAGCGCTTCCCAAGTTCGCCAAGTGACAAAGAAGCCTTTGTGCCGGCGTGCCACCTCTAAGCGCTTGCCGGCCATGCGCATTTTGCATGAAACGTAGGATCGCGCTTTCATCAAATGCGCTCGGGAAAGGCGTCGTTAGGAAAGGCGTCGTCATTATCGCGCTTGCAACGGATATTGCGTTCACCACCCCTTCTGCAAATTTCAAACCTTTACCGCTTTATGACGCGAGCTCACCTTCGGTGCCACTTAAACAGGCTTGGCAAGCTTTTGTTGCCATTGATCTATCAGTCACGCACCCAATTTAAAAGACGTAGTCTTCTTTGGGGACCTTTGGCAAAAAAAAATTTGGTCTGTCTGTCTGTCTGTACATTTGTCTGTTTGTCCGCCCTAACGATACCTTAAATGGCATTAAACGGCTAATTCCACTTACAGCGCCCACCAATATTGTTCAAGGTTTAGCGTTCACAGTTGTGCGATTGTCAATTATAAAGCAATTATTTCACAAATCTGAGGTGCCATAACAATGCTTCGAAGTTTTGTATGTCTGCCTTTATACTCGAAGGGGCACACACAAGTAACTCTAAGGAATGTAGCGTTTATTGCGCTGCGCTCACAGTGCAACGCGATGCTCAAAAAGGTGTTTCCAATGCTTCGCTACAACGTCATGGTGGTGGCACCTGCCCGTCGCTTTGCGTTCTACACCTTCTCACCTCCGAAACTGGCGCGCATCTTTCTCCACAGGCTGCACACCTTTGTTTTCGAAGATGACTGCCAGATGGCGCTTGTGTCCAACATGCTTCGATGCGCTCGTTTGCCTCTGCTACACACTCGAGGCACTCTAACGCAGTGCCTCCAGAATACCATTCACCGTTTTTTTCTTGCACAGAACATCAAATAAACATTTTGTTCACTCTCTCCAGACGCAAGAATATCGTCTTTCTATATTTGCAGTGTAACATGCAGATTTGGAACCAATTTTTTTCGTATCACACCTTCTTCTCATGGGTGTGAGCTTGGGTGCAACTTTTTTGATGCCCAATCAGACCTTAATGATGTCTCAGGCAAACTTCCTATGGCAACATTCCAAACCGTGAGATTAGGCCTATTCGCGATGCCCGTTGTTGCTTTCCTAAGGGATCGCCAGCGGTCGAAATTGAAATTTGGTTCAAAATAGACAAACTGTTTGTGGCGGCTGCGCTACACTGAGGGGACGAGAATCGTACCGCGAATAAAAACGTGGGCACGTATAATGCGCAAATGGTGGTCAGCAATTCGATTGCAATGTCTTGGACATCGGGTGCGCTTCCCTGAAAAGGAACGATCGGTAAACTTCCGCAGTTGCACGCGTGAAATTTGAGTTGTGATCCTGATTCAACATACAGTGGAACTTCGGTAAAACGAATCTCACAGGACCACCAAAGAGATTCGTATTATCCCAGATTTGTATCATCAGAAAGCATGGAAAATTAGCATGCGACAAAAAAAGCTAGCATAGATTTCATACATTGTTTTTCAGGCCGAGAACAAACAGTAATTCGTATAAGCTGTGATCGTATCACCAAGGTTTTGCAGTAATTTCTATGTATTGTGCATAATTGAGGTGGCCTTAAACGTAGTCAGCGAATTTCTGTGATTGAGTTTTCTTTAACTATTTTTTTCTGTATTCGTTTCATTGGCTCATTTGCAACGAAGATCTTTGGAAGCAAGTTTTTGAACATTCTGGAATTTAAATGGCTGTAAGCACCCCGAATCGCATGTCTCGATTCACAGACATGCAAGGCTGTATTCTCAACACGGTTTGCACAAGTGCAGCCTCGGAAGAAGCACAACTTAACATTTCACATAGAGCAGTGCTGTCCACACAGTAGTACTCCGCATTTCACATAGAACAGAACTGTGCTTGTGCAATATCATGCGACGTCCACAACATCAGACGTGACAAAAATGAGTGCTATTCATAGAGTATGTTTGCCCATAACTCACTGTGTAGCACTGAACATGCACACTGTACACACTGAAATGCTCAATTTAAATGGTCATAGAAGCCACCACAAACAGTATGACCCCCCCCCTCTGAACCAACAGTAAAGTGCGACTCACAGCGCACACGCGCATCCGCAAAGCGAAAAAATTTCTCGAGATCCCTCACCCTGACTCTGGACGACTTCTCGGATATGACCCTCCGAACATAGATGGGCGAGAAGACGAGGTAGCTGTACACCACAAACATGGCGATGAGTCGAGAGATGAGGTCGAACTTGTTGTCGTCGTTGTACTCTGGATAGGGAAACCTGTGCATGGCAATCTGCAAAGAGACAAGCGCTACTCTGAGCGACTTGTTCAACTGCCTTTCAATGAGGTGCAAAGCAGTTACTGCTAGCATCCAGTGAAACATGAACAGCGGCAAGCAGTAGCGTTGGTAACATACGTGCCATCCAGTCGTAAAACCATGAACACGCTCAATGCTGCCAAAAAGGAGGGCTGCACGCCAGAGATGACTGGACGCCACACGCTACACAATTCGCAATGCTTGTCACTGTCAGAATTTCATTGATGCCGATGATAGAAGCGAAGGTTGACGGTTTATTTATTGATTCTACTTACAAATGCTATGCAGGCCCCACAGAGGCATTGCGTAGGGGGAGCGGGGGTGCAGATTTGAAAACATGAACGATGCAGGTTAACGTGAATAATGTAGGCACAATAGTAAGATCTATGTAAATAAACATAAAGAAATACCACTAGCACAGCAAAAAAATTCGAGGACCCTTAAGCTTCGCCATCAAGAGTTGAACGCGATAGCAATATCCTCTCCTTAGTGTGTACTTCAACCACCTAGTGCATACTTTTTATTGTCAGATGCGACTCGATAAGTTTCAATTGTGGATTACTACAGTGTAATTGATAAAACTGAAAGTGGCTTGTGTCAGAGAAGCTTTCGTACAAGGCCGGATTCCATGTAATGGATAGCGTGCTTTAAACCACGAGAAATTATGCACCTGAAATCTTCTCGAATTTTCTATGCACCTGCTACGTGTGCTTAAAGGAATTTGCATAGTAACGTGTGTGCCTTTTGTAGTGAATGGCGGGCTTTGATTTCCCACAAGGTCCTGAGTAATCGATATCTGATTAGATATTGAACATTTTTGGCCACTGTTTGATTCGAATGAATGAAATTCCACCATTTGCACACTCCCAATCTGGACATATAGAAGCATCAAAATAATATTAACCCATAATACTGCCCTCAAAGTGGAATTATTATCGATATGTGGCTACATTCTTCGTATTGAGTTTTTGCACACTAGCACACACTGACAATGCGCTGAAACTAAAAAAAAAAAAAACAATGCGTTTAGAGCTTCACCAATTTAAGTAGATGACAACTTACAGCTACACAGGGATGACATTCTCAAGAAATCACTCTCCAGAGATTTGACACGACTTAACCGTACTAACACGGCCACATGCCGCAAATTAAAAACGCAAAAACAGGACTAAAAAGAAGGAGCCGATAGCACAAGTTTTCGTGAGCAGCTGTAAGCATGTTTAGCCTTATGAAAAATATTGTTACGATGCAGAAACAGCAGAATTCGGATATAGGAGAGCTCATTTTAACTATATACAAGGTAGTGATGTGCCAATATTCGAAAATTTCGAATATTTGGCAAATATTGCATTAGTATTAATTGTATTCAATTCGATAACCACATATTCGAATATTTCTCGAATATTTGATGTTCAGGAATACTCGTTCGCATATGTCGCTGTGAAGAACTTGCACTTTTGCGCATTTGCCATAATAGCCACAGTAGATCGTGAAGGGATCACTATGACTTCAGCGCAAGTGTGGTGATACCTGCATAGAAATTCATAGGAGCGTGATGGCCGCTACCAAAGATTGCGACAGTAAGTCATAGCGACAAACGAACCAATGATAAACATCTCAATAAATATAAATCATGTACTGCCTGCACGGCAGTACGTGTGGCTTAGCAGTTTAGTGCTGTTACGTTTCATGTAAGCGTACTGACCCCGCCGTCCGCTGCCGCACCTTTGTGCGTGAGACCGCCATGCATATCACTCATGGAAACGATAGCAACTCGCCGCTGCCACATTGGCTTGACAAAATAGTCGTCACCCCTTTGCTCGGTCCAGTGCTGAGCGAGCACGAATAAAAAGATCTCTAAAGCAAGTACACATATCGTACATGTAACGTGTATACGTTACAGGGCGCGGCACTTATGTAGTAAACTTAGAGGCGATGCACTACAAGCAACTAGCCAAGGGCATGCTCAGCTTGACCTATGATGATAACGCGTTTCATGTGTAGCCAGGCCAGTTTTTGCTAATAGATTCCCACAGAAACGTACGTGCACATGTCGAATCTTGACAAGTCGTCCGTCTCCTGTGGTGCTACTTCAGCATGTATACTCTCTTCATAGTTCCGGAATGATTTCATGATAGCGGATATGGTCATGCGAATGAGTTGAAGTGTTTTTCGCGCAATGGCAAACATAAAAATGGCCATGCACTTTCGGTAACGTTACAATGGTGTCATCACATATAGTTTTCCGTTGCTAACAATGGCGCACATAATGTGACCGACGGATTACTGCGTAGCGCCGCTGCGTTCCTGACAGCGCCTTTGAAAATCTGTTGTACGCGCATCGCGCTCGCGTGGGAACGTCTCCTGCAATTAAACCTCCGTTACACCGTTGCTACGACCTCGCTCTTTTGCTAACGTCAGCTTACTGCAGTCTGCAGCCAGTGCGTGAAAAGGGGTCGCGATGCGACAAAATAGGGCCCTTGCCGCCGAGATAGTGCCTTGCCGCCAAGTTGTGACTTCGCCAACAAAAAGGTGTACTTGGGGCATCTTTCTACCGCCCATCAGTGATCATCTAGCGCGCTTGTTTTGCGTTATCGCTGCGCGCCCGGTACACCTCGGTCACGGCCGTACAGCTATCAGCGCAACACAGCATTCTTCATTGGAAAATGGCAAGCATAGTCCTCAAGAAAGGCAACGGAAGGCATCAAGATAAGGAATATTGCTGTGTAGTTGAAAATGCCCCAAGTACTCCTATATCCCTTGGTGGCTTGACCAGTGCAAACATCGGAGAAAATTAAAAGGAAAACTTTAAATTCAGGGTCTTTCGAGCCAAAACTGATAGTGTGGAAACCTAGATGAATTGTGACAACCTAGGCTGCTTTATATTCACTTCGGTTTTAAAGTACACTGGCGTTAACTGTTAACACAATCCCACCAGTGGCCTCATGCTCAGTAGTCATCATGGCCGGTATGAAATCTTTTCTTTTTGTTTTGTAATAAAGTGTTACCACATAAAAAAAAGATACAAAAGGCATGTTCAACGTGTGGATTGAACCGAAGATATCACAGTCTCAAGCCTAACTATAAGTCTTATGTTTTCTGGGAAGTACAGACTGTGACGTTTTTTTTAATTTTTGTGCACAATAACCGACTATAATAATAATTGTACTGTTTCCAACCTAAATACAGTGTAGACCACTTATAACAAAACCGCTCATAGTACAGAGCCGCTTACGATGCGGTCTTTTTATACTCCCGTTTACCCTCCCATGGAACCCCATGTATACGCATACCACTTCTTTTACAGTCCCCCAAGATGAAAGACCGGTTGTAAAGCGGTTGCCGGAAATTGTACGTGACAAACGCCGTAGTGAGTGCACTTCTGAAAGGAGGCACGCCGGGTGCGCCACTAGGGAGCGAACGACGAGGTCGTTACGGAGGAGGAGCGGAGACACAGTGAACGAACGAAGCGAGGAGGGAAGAAAAAGAAAACGAAATAGAATCGTGGGACACGTTGCGGGCTCGCCGAGTAAGGGAGGAGGACGGCTGCCTCAGTGACCGATAAGCCTTTGCACCGGCGCCGACGCGGCTACGTTGCTAGCATGGCTTCAGCCCCGCGCCGCTCAATGTGTCATGTGCGATCTCGTCCTTACCAATTGCATGCTCGATGCGTCTAACAGTTCCTGTCGGGAAAGACGTCGTCGTTGTCGAGCTTGAAACAAATATTGCATTTGCTTTCTCGTCCGTAAATTGAAAACCTATTTCGGTTTTATGACGCGAGCTTTCATTTTTGCTGCCAGTGCGCTGTCGTTTGTAAGCTTGGAGAGTTTTTGCTGATCTCCTGGTTGCGAATGCGAACTTCGTATCACGCACACTGAACTTGGTTCACTGCTAGTGCGATCTTTTTCACACCGAATCTTCATGTTTTGGACAAACTTTCCGCGACAACATAAACGGCGAGCTAGGCCTAATTGAAATTGGTTGCACTTTGATCGGTAGCGGTCGCGTGAATCTAGTTGCGGTTAGATACCAAATCAATGAAACTCTTTGTGGTGGCCGCACTTGACGGGAAAGGTACATATGGTTAATGAAAACGAGGGCGGCACATGTAGCGTTCAAATAGTGGTTCGCGATGTGATTGTGACGTCTTAAGTCGGGTGCGCGCCCGTGAAATTGAATGGTTGGCGTGTTTCTAGGCGTCTAATTCTGGACGTGATTCGATATAGTTTCTGTGTAATGTGCATAATCGAGGCGGTCTGGTAGTTTGCCAATTTCCACGATAGTGCTTTTGTTTGTTAAACACCCGCCCTCCTCCTTTGGCCTTCATTTCATTGGCAACGAGTGTCCTTGGACGCTAAATTCTTTCAACATTCAAAAATATAAATGTTAGCATGCAGGCATCGCATCTTTCTATTCTCGGACACGCGAAGCTACATGCTCAACACGTTTTTGCGCAAGTGCAGCCCTTGACAAAGGTTGTTATGGTTATGGTGCGTAGGTACCGCTTATAGTGTGGATATTCGCGACTCCCGCGACTTACGTTATAAACGATTCATATTGTATATGATTGAGTAAAAGATTACTGGGGGAAATAAACTACACCTCTTCATTATTCGATAATCAATTCGTATTCGAAGCTATGTATATGTATTCGATTTGTATTCGAAAATGTTCATATTCACACACCCCTAATCCAGGGCACTATCAAAGAGGACCGGGCAAGAACTTCGTCTTCCTCTCTTGCTGCATGAGCTCTTCGCTCTTTCAGCTCTGCAGGTTGAGTGTGGCATTTGTCTCCCATCCGGGGAGAAAATCGTCCCAATATTCTGTTACAAAATACGAGGTGTAGTAGATGTATTATGCAACTGACTCTGTGCAATATGGCTTCATTCGTACAATGTGTACGATTTCCAACTTCTGCTGGCCATCAAAAATACCAAAAATCAGAACTAAAAAAAAACACATGACATGTTGCATGGTCACAGTGCTGAAATGCATGTCTGCACCAAGGAAATATATGATGCATTTCGTCACTGTGACCATGTTACAGTTAACGTTTCTTACACAGCGAAAGCTATTACAGTTAAACCTGCTTATAACTAACCTCCATATAACAAATTTCTTGATATAACGAAACTTTTCAATTCCCTGCCGTTGCTCCATAGAAGCAAATGTATTTGCGACCTCTATGTAGCTAAGTAAAAGGGGGAGACAACCTTGATATAACGAACTTTCCCCACAGACAATCTAGAAATTTTTCTCCGCATTTGGGTACGAGCGTGCAAAAAAAAAGCCGCCCGTGCTCGACACCCTGCAGCTCTTTGATCTCTGCTTCAGCAGCCCTTCTGCGCTTTTACCCGCGGCTCGTGATAGTTACGATGCGATGTGTGGGGGCATGTTACTGAACATGGCGGCAACGGCAAAAACCCGCCGGAGTGTCCATACGATTGCTAACGCAATAATAACGCAGTTTTTTTTACTGTGAAATAAGTGTTTTTGATTAGCTCTGCCTTCAGTCCCTCTTTTGTTTATTTGTGCATTTATTTTTTGAACTTTTCGGGTCAAACCTGCATATCACGCAATCCTCTTTATAAAGAATTTTCACGGAAACTTCAATTTCGTTATATCCAAGTTTAACTTTATAAGATCACAACACGAGTCATGCACAGGGCCGTAGTTGTCCACCACTGCCGTCGTTGTTTGCAACCGCTGTCACACAAAATAAGAAAAAACTAATAAAAATTATCACGGACGCGATGATATAGGGAGATTCGAACCCAAGTCCACTGCGTGCCAGCCCAGTATTCTACCACTGAGCAATGCCAGTGCTTGGGATTCATTCGCAAACTTGCCTTAGGCAGGCTTGATGTCGGGAAAGGAATGGCGTTAATACGAGTAATAAAGCGTTTCACAACAGCACAGAAACAAACAGGCATCACAAATGAAAATCGCATGACGAGTGAATCCTCCAAAGTTCCACCACATTATAAAAGCACGTTCATCATCTATTAACTGTGACACATACCCACTGCAGGCATAATTCTTCATCATCATCATCATCAGCCACTGAATGCAACACAAAGTTCATTACATGAAGCGACCAAGTTCATTACATGAAGCGAATACCATGCTTCTCCAAAGAATGATGAATAGCATAGTGAATGCTGGCCTACCATGCAGTAATCATGAATATTTATGAGGTACTGGGTACCCAGCAAGTGTGCTTGTAGCATTTACCCAATGAGTGTACCAATAAGTGTAGCATTTACCAATGAGACAAGCCTCTGGAAGGTCACTCTCCATGCTTTCGGTGCGACTGTCGCGCCTTCCGCGCAGGCCTGTTTTTTTTTTTTTTTTTCTTATTAGTTCTCATTTAAGGTGTATACTTTTCATCACAACAAACTTGTGCAAAGTTATTTGTCAATACTTTTCTTGTCTGTTCTTTTGTCTTAGTATTGTTTTCATGCTGTTTATTTGCCGTATCATGTACCAACTGGCCCTTCACAACCATTCACATACAGTGAGGACTGAAACTTGTCAATTTAGGGCTAACTAGTACAAGCACTAATATTTCTACAATCTTCAATTCACACCCTATCAGCATAAATACTTTGGTTCAAACACCCGCATTAGAACCATGTCACATGTCGATGCGTATGAGCTATCTGCTGTGATTGGGCTCGCTAGAAGTAGAGGAATAAGAGAATGTTGCTTTCTGGTCCGGTTCTGGGAAAGATGTCAACTCCTAGCTGTCTGTATTATTTCGCTTTAGGGGCCAGATTTGAAGCAACATGACAGGATTTTCTTCAACAAAGATGCATGTTCATTACTATAGTTCAAACGTTGCAGTTGCTTCTCAATCTGTGAGCACTGTATATAACCACTGATGGCATTGGCGGCTGCACCACGTGCGGGTGTTGTCAATTGTATGCTTGAATATGTTGAGCATATAGTCAAGCGAAATCTCATGAGAGTCGTCCCGCAGTGACACCATCCTTGGTTGCAAACTGGTTTTACTACACAGCACACAAAGTTGTTAATGAAAGCAACTTACCTTTGGCTTCTGGCGTGCAAGTCCTTTCGCACTTTTTAACAGTTTAACGTGTTCCGTGAACATCCTGTCCTGCAGTCCCCACATCAGTGCTGAAAAGTCACAAAGAGCAGGTTTGGTTAAAGGGACACTAAAGTCAAATAACAATTTAGGTCAGAGTGAAAACTCGATATGTGACAACATCTAAACAGACAATATCATCATAGCGTGCTTACTTACCGAGAAATTAAAGTAAATGCACAATGATACATGCGCTGCCATAGGACATTCTCCTACTGCAGCGCATGACGTCAGACGAACCGCCTACAATTAATCACTAGTAATCGATCTAGCTGCACTAAATAAAGAATCTTCCGTGGATCAAGAACACAATAAAACGCTGCTTGTTCGTTTCTGTTTTATTCATGAAAAAAAGAACCACTGGACGTTACTATAGGAAATGACGCGAGTGGTTCAAAAATTCAATTTACCTGTGGTTAAACTGGACAGGTCGAGCCATCTAGCGGGGCCCTGTTGAACCAAAACACGTCTGCACTCTCGGAGCAAATGACAGGAAATTGATCAATAGCCGTTTTGTTGCTGTGGCTCCCACTACTTTTGTTCTGCTGTTACTAGTGCCGGCGGCTGCGCTGTAAAGCCAAGCAACGTTGTGCATGGCAACAGTGACGTGAGACGCTCCACTTCTTGAGGCGTGTAATTTGAAGTGTGCTAACCTGATGTGGACCACTAAAACGTGATTTTATTTCAAAATAAGCCATTCCTTGGCACAAAAGTAACACTACAAGGTTTCTGCACCGCTATTTCAGCAATCAACATAGACTTATTAGTTCCCATGGTGTTCCTTTAACATAATGAGCGTAATTTCACTGAGTCATAACAAAAAGCTTTATCGACCCTCAAGGGTGTTGCGTCAAAAAAAGCACATACTGGATTTTAGTGTGCAGTGAAAGAAACAGTATTGACGTAAAGAAAGGCTAAGGTTATCAAGTTTTATGACAGGCATAATGTGTCTGTGTTGGGCAATGATGCGAGAGCAAATTCTTTTATACAAATTTGTACTTCCCATAGATGATAACGAGCAGTTGACAAAGATCAACTGAAAAAGATACTTGAGAAATATTACCAAGGCAATTTTTCAAATTAAGAATGACTGCACACTTCGCAGCTGCAATGGTAGAATCTGCATTACACGTATTATCGTAATATTTTACTTTCGTTAAATGCTTGCAGTGGAAAGGGGTCAGGTAGTCGCTTCATTCGCTGGACTTCTACACCTACTGTCCCACATTATTGGGGGAGGGGGGTAACACACAGCTCGGCATACTCACTCATGAGTACGCTCACTCGCGCTCACTTGAACGTAGGTAGTATGCGTGAGTGACGAGCAATGCGAATAAAGGAGAGTATAAACATAAGTGTGAGTAGAGATGAGCATGAACTTGAGTGAGTACTCATGAGTGCGAGTAGAAGCAAGTACGAAGATGCACGAGCGCTCATGAGTGAATGTGAACGTGAGAACTCATGAATGTGAGTGGAGGTATGAACGTGGGTGAGTACTCATGAGTGTAAGTGGGGATATGAACGTGGATGGGTACTCATGAGTGTGAGTAGAGGCGATTATGAACGTGAGTACTCATGAGCGTGAGTGGATGTGAGAATGAACACGAGTCGGTACTAATCAGTGCGCATAGATGTCTGAATGTGAGTGAGAACTGATGAGTGTATGAGCATAAATGAGTGCTTATGGGTGTGAGCATGAGTACGAAAGTGGGTGATTATTACTAAGGATGAGTGGAGTGTGTATGAACGTGAGGGAGCACCGATTAGAGTAAGTGCATGCAAGTGATTTGTATTTGAAACCACTTTTGATTTAATGCAGCGTAACCGCATGCACCTGTAGCACAAGTGGCCTGCTTTGAACAATTTCTCAATGAAAAGAAAGTTTAATGAAAAAGAAGGCCTAGTTTCAAAGTATTCACATCCTATGCGGTAACGAAAGCCCTTCTGAAAAACCACAAATTGCTCCTGCAGTAAGCTCGCTTTAGTGTGGCCCATCAGGTACCCAAGCGCACTAATTGGCAGTAATGGGCATGCCGCCAGAAGTTATTCACCGCATGCAAAAGCCAGAACGACACCGAACGCGTGGGGATGTCGTCTGTATTGCTGCTTGAGATCAGAGATATCATATGATATAGAATCACCATACATAGCACCCACTACACACGCTCATTCTGTTCTATAACAATGCAAAACAGCACCGCAAATGCAGGCAAACACTGAAAACAGTGACCAGAAATGAGGGTAAAAACATGCATGGCAGTGGCCTCGCCAATGCGTGCCATTGATAGTGTATCTGGAGCTCTTCACCTTCCTTATGAGGAGTGTCCAACGTAACTGAATGCCGCACACGTGCTGGAAGTACCATACTACATGTCAATCTGCACCTCAATTATAATCTTTAATAAAGAATAGCCATTATATCTACTTTGTATGCAGAAGTCTTCTCCATATGAGTTGACTTTTTTTCTCGTTTACTCGAGTGGACACATGCTGCACCTTCAATATCGACGCAAATGTTATTAGGGACCACATGAAATCGCATCTCAAATCGACATATTGTGCCTTTAGCATTGTAGACAAATCTGCAGTCTGCAAACTATCGCCCTTGAGATTTCTTTTTTGTTCCATACTCCATATAGCGAAAGCCAATACAGAGACACGCATAACTGTCTCAACTTGTTCACAGTTTTAGTAGGGCATCCACAACAGCTCGGCGGATGCAGGTTACCAACCATTCGCAACGGCATGTCGTGTCCACAATAGAGTTTCCTAATATACACTATAGGGAACACTGGCGCTAGTGTCTATGGGAGCTGCAACGCACGGCGCTTCAGTGAGCATGGGAATGATGGGCAGTACACACATTTGTCTTATCTTCATACATCTGGCCTGCTTCTGGCTCTGTGTGTGTTCGTGTGGCTTAGAGCTGTTTTTTTACGAAAAAAAAAGCAAATGTTCAGCGTTTGTACTTCACAACCTTATTCCTTTAGGGTTACCATTTCGAATCGAGTCACAAAGTGGAAAAGGGTTCATTCTTTCTTTCAAAACAAAAGCGTAACCAGCAATAAACGAAGCCGCAAGCACGATTCGCCACCCTCAAGTACGAAAACTAGGCAAATGTGTGTACTACCCATCATTCCCATGGTCGCTGAATGATCGCAGCACCAGAGTCCCCTCTAGTTAATTTTAGGAAACTCTATGGTGTCCACAGACTTGTTGCAGACACTCAACTAAAACTGTATATTAACAGGTGCACGTTGCCTGTTTCTAAAGCACCATGAATAGGCCCCCTCCAAGCGTCCCTTTCAGCAGGAAGCCTCTGCTAGGCGCAACCAAAGAAACGCAACCAAACACGCAACCAACTTCATGCAACAAGGGCACCATAGAGGAGGTGCCATCGCCATTGCCGCGCCTAGGCGCTGCCGAGTCCCCGCACCCCACCAGGCAGCGTACGCGAAAGGCACTGAGTGCCAGTCACGTGAAGTATACGACACATACGACTAGGGTGCCGTATGCATCATATACATACGCTAACATGCTAGTCATTCCGAACGCCCTGCACGAGTGACAACCGACTCTTGAAGTAAAGTTAAATTTAGTTTTATGATTCTGCCCACCCATGCGGTCAAGTGAATTACTGAGGGCAGTCAGGCAGCCGTGACCTTCTTTTGACTTTTTTTTTCTGATACTTTAGCACATTGTTTCAACTGTTAATTTTCCTGGTAATGGTGACACTTGGAACAGCACCATGAGCAACCTTTTTGCTAATAGAGAAAATAAGGGTCAGCCACAGTGGTGTGGTGGTTACAGTGCTCAGCAGCTGTTTGTAAGTCGTGGGTTCGACCCCGGTTGCGGCGGTTTCATCTAGATGGAGGCAAAATGTAGTTAAGCTAATGATGATGATGAAATGCTAGAGGCACAGACATTGTGCGATGTCAGGGCCCATTAAAGACCACCAGATAGTTGAAGTTCTCTAAGCCCTCTACTGTGGCATGCCTCAATCATATAGTGATTTCGGAGCATTAAATCCCAGATATTATCAATATTAGAGAAAATAAGAAAGCACTTAGTAACAGTAAGTGATTGCATTAATTAATATAGCCATGTTCTAGTTTCTTTCAGTCTACCAAATCTACTTGATCACCCAAGTTGGTAATACTGACGTGTTCTGTTGCAGTCATGGAAGCGACATTTTGCTTTTTGGAGCAGATTTTGGAGCAATAAAAATGGTGCTTTGGAGCACTTCAGAGCAAAAAAAAATGCTATACCTTAAAGATTGCTATTGCTGTTTTGGGAGCAGATGCATGTTCCTAATGACTTCTGAAGTCTAAAACATCACTTAAGCATTTAATAAATATTTAAAATTATTATTAGACATGCTGTATGCTAGTGTGCAACTAGTATACAAGCACTATAATTGGTGTAAATTAAGGGCGGGGGGGGGGGGGGGGGTCAAGAGAGCTTAAACTTTTTTGGTGTTCAGGCTGGGGAGGACACCCCTTGCAGGTGTACCACTTGAGATTTAGCTTTAGCACATGATATAATTGAGTTAACAGTTAGGAATAGCACAATAAACATTTTAAAAGGCTTTTTATCTTCTACTGTGTACCTGTGTTTAATGCCACTCAGCTATGTGAACTATGGAAATCGAAAAAAGGTAAAAAAGAAAAGGCTGAATAGAACAATGCAATCGCTCGAGCTCAGACACCATGCTCGTTTTTTTTAATTTTACTTGAAAGCATGATTTAATTCCCATATAAATGAATATACAACCCATATTAAAAATACAAATTAGACATCATGGCCTAATATGTGTCACCCCTTGAGATTTTTCTGGGTTTACGCCACTAGGTAGCATGATAGTATCTTATCTAAAGCTTGCTTCTGGCATCTCTTAGCCTCAAGGAATGGTTCTATGGTTCAATTTCATTCTTTTTAGTTTGCCAGCACCATTTTGGAGCAGGTTTGTAGCAGTTACTAGCAAATATTGCATTTTGGAACAACATAGAGCAGCATTGCCCTTTTGGAGCAG